CACATTTTACTTGTGAGCAACGGCACATTTAAATCTTACAAATATAGTTATTTGGCTTATATCGTGATAGATATCGTTATCGCCTGAAATGAAAAAAACATGTCGTGATATGAAAAAATCTCATATCGCCCAGCTCTACAGAAAGGTAGAGCTTTTTACCAAGAATGAGGCTCTTGGTTAGTTTTTCCTTTAGACCAGTTACCAGGCGACCAGTAAAGAGTCCATGACTAATATCAATCTCAAAACGATGACTTATTCCTTGATCGGTTTTGTTTTCTCAAGAAAACACTTTGTGGAAATGTTAAACACATGTGCCGCTCTCAGAGGTTGAACCTTTTTTACTCAGAGGGTCGACGAGAGCTGAGCAAATCAAAATCATGTGCTCGATCACTCAAACTTTTTTTTTATTAGTCCTTTATTTATCCAGGTAAAAGTCTCATTTCCAAGAGAGACCTGGCATTTAACAGATAAATAACACCTCAATATCTCCACCTAAACTCTGATCCAGACCTACCTCGATGCCACAGTCTGGATCAGAGCTTGTTGGATCAGTTAGACCACAAACACATTCACATCAGAACGTTGTTTCTTCCTCAGCTGTCATTAAGTGATCTGAATTTTATGCAGAAAATGAGGAAAACCTACACATTTACCGTATGATTTTTTGATATGATTGATTGCTTGTTTTCCGACCACTCTTGCAAAGGTTTGCTGGTCATTATTTGATTTGTTGCATTCTTTTGTTTATAAATTAGCATAATGCCAGTTGACGCCCTGAGAGCATTCCCAGATCTTCCCATTCTCCATCACCGCATTCCTGAGATTGCGAGCTCATCATCATTTGCCCCTCTTAGTCAATCTGACCGTGTGTGTGGATAACACTGTCCAAAGTAAAATTCCATATACAACAAACAAAGCTGATCAACATTAAAAGCTGCATACGTCTTCAGTGTTTCATGCTGCCAGAGTTGTAGCAGAGAATTAGAAGTAACCTTCAAACAAACTTGCGTTACCTGCAGCCCGTTTTCTCTTCGGCCCCCGCTTGCTGGGCTTCTCCACTTTAGCTTTCTTTCCCTTTTTCCCTCTTTTTTCTTCATAGTCACTTCCTCCATCTTCATCCTCCTCCTCTCCAAAGTCATTGTCTTCATCATCGCTGCCAAAGTCATCTTTAGTATCGACACAGAGGAAGTCAGTGAGCGTTAATCAAACTCCAGCTGTTTTCAGAGAGAGTCAACCTTTTTCATGTAGCTCAGACTGACTTACCTGCTGAATCATTTTTGGGTTTGGAGAGCTTGTCATCAGAGTCCTCACTGGGGAGCAGAACAAGAAATAAACAAAACAGTGTCTTCAGTAAGTCGAGGAAAGGCAGCCAGGAACTCTTCAACAAGACAGACTGCAATGGACTGGCATGGATGAAATAATATGGACGTAATGTGCTGAGGACTGGTCTGAAAGATGTCCTGATGAGCTCCAGCCAGTGTTACTCTCACTGATTCAACATTATTCATTCAGTGGGAAGCATGTTTCATTTTGCCTACTGTTACATTACTGAGTAAAAAATGTAAAAATACAAAACAACCATTTTCTCCTCTATTCAGTCTCTCAGACTTGACTAATTTATTCACATAACTGTGATTTTATCTGCCAAATAACACACCAACATGCCGATTAAACAGCGCAATAATCACACATGATAGAGAGAATAAAGGCCACCTGTGGTGGGCTGGGCCACAGGTGGCAGCAGCAGTAAGAGACTGAGCAATCAGCACTATAACTGGCACTTGCTTTGATATCCAAGAACTATTAAACAAATTGATAAACGGTGCCAGTGTTTGTCTCTGGCACAGTTAATATCCTGCCACTGAGATCTTTCACTAACAAAAATATGCATATTCTGATATCCTGATTTTTCCTATGTGTCAACTACATGATACACACAACATGTGATGTACTTTGTCCTCCCTTCTTCCAGCCCTGTATGAAAAACTGATAACTGTCACCTGGATCTCTCCTTTTTAAACATATATTTAATCAACAATTTATTTCCTGTTCTCTATTTTCCTATAAAGGCTCAGGTCTACAGCTCATCAGGACGGATCACCATACGCTTCACCATGTACATGTTTGCCGGACCTTTAGATCCGAGTCTATTCCTTTACATCCAAGTGATAAAGTGTAAAATTGATCACAGTGTCTGACGCTGCATTAGAAACTGTAACCAGACACAACAATCCTACCAAATCTCCACTTAGGGCTCACCTGTCATCTTGCGAGTTCTTTGAGCGCTTGTGCTCACGAGGGGCTGGTCGCACCTTCTTCGGCTTGTCGTCACCATACTCCTCATCTAAGGAGAAAGCGCACTTTTAACCTTTAAGACACACAACTCAATATCATGCTAGCAGCTCTACAAGATACCAGTTAAGACATCATAGTGCTTTGAGATAAATGCTAAAGTCACCACCCTAAATTACTCTCAATGACTTCATTTTTTTAATTTTATTTAACCAGGAAGATCCCACTGAGATTTTACACAAATTACACAATTAAACAAAGGCAACAACAACACACACACAAATAAATGTAAAATATTCTGGGGGGGGGTTAATAAATAAAATAAAATTCAATTAAAATGACGAGCAATCTAATTGAAACAGTTGCATGTTATGGAACTGGCCTCAAAGATTCTTAGTTCTGATTTAAAATCACTTAATAAATGAATTCTGTTATTTTTTTCGTTGTTCTGCAGCTCGTTCCAAACAGAGAGTTGCTAAATGGACTAAAGCTCTTTTGCCAAGTTCAGTTCAGGCAAATGGAACAGAAAGCAACAAGTAACCATGCGGACGAAGAGAATAATGACCAGCATGTTTCACTGCAACCAGGGAATGTATATAGGAAGGCAGCAATCCGAGTATTGCCTAATATATAAAACCGTATAAATGAGACTGACTGGCCAAAGCAGGCCATCATACCAGAGGGTATAACTCACGGTGGTGAGTCTGAAATTTACGGTTCGTGCTGAACCTCAGAGAAGCATGAGACACAGTATCAACCATCCAGAGACACTGAGCAGAAGCATTCATATATAGAAAATCTCCATAATCCAGAAGAGGCAAAAATGTTGCAGCAACAAACTGCTTCTTTGTATTAAAAGAAAAACACTACCAGAATAAAACCAGCTGTTAGGCTCAGTTACTGCTAGCTTGCTTATACTTAAAACTAACAGAAGACCATTAGTTTTGTACTTATAGGATGGACAAAAATGGGCAAATGAACTTTGTTCATCCTTGTTGCTTTGGCTGGATATCGCAGTAACGATTGGTCAGGAAGGCAGCCGTACCCAGCCACCTTCTCGCCCCATGAGCCAAACCAGCACCTGAAGTTACACTTTGCCTCAACTTGGAAACTTGGACCATGATTTTCTCAGGAGACTGAATATCTTTTAGATTCCAACTGATGAAGCATTTTAAAAACCAACGTTGATATTTGGGGATTTAAAATCTGATATTTCAGCTAAAATTCTGTTTACTTTCAGACACAAAACTGGAACAGATTTGTCAAACATTTGTTCTGCAGAGGTATTTATTTACTGGTCGACACAAAGTAAAGAGAAACTGTGCGCATATAAATGTACCAAAACACAGTATCGCCTCACAGGACAGGTTGTTTTTTTTTTAGCTCATACTTTTTACCTTAAATTGTGTCATTACTGTGCACTGATGCTAAATATCTATACCAGAGACCAATCTGTACATTGCCCTTGTGTCACTCCATTTGTAATGAAACACATCTGAAGCCTCACTTACCTGCGTCATCAGACTCGTTGAATTGTGAGTAGTTCACCACCTTCCTGTTCCTGTGAAGAAGAACACACTGCATTAGATTACATTAAGTTACTGCCTTAACCCGATATTAGACAGTGTAGACTAGAGTGCAACAAAGCTATCATATGTAATGTCCAGCAGTTCAGGTGGTGCAAGTGGCAACGTGCTGGCTGTGTATGAATGTCTCGATCGTATTATTTGGTACGAGACATAAAACGCCTTCCAGCCAGGGGGCCCTGAACTGGACACTGGTCTACCTTCTACAGTTACAAAGGCTAATTGGGCCAAGTGTATGGGGGAAGTCTCAGTGACAGTATTTGACTGCACTTCAGGTAACACGCCCTTAGGAAAACTGAAGAGCAGCACTGACCAAGACAAACAGACAGTTCAGGTTAAAATCATTGGGAAAAAATTTACCCCTGAATTAGGGGTGGGCAGTAGAGCAGGGCGATATGACCAAAAATATTTATCACGATATACATTTGAAAATTTGCGATAACGATATAACTGACGATATAATTGACACTAGACAAAAGACTTTACAACTCCACAACTTTATTAGTGCAAAAAAACCATCAATGTATTTTCACTTAAACAAGCAGCTTTTTTTTTTATGTGCATTAAAGTTATATAAAAACGTAACAGTGCAAATTCCTTGCTGACAGTTTAACCAAAAGGCATTTCCAGTGGAAACTGGCTGACATATCCTCAGCATAAACATGTATAATATCCACAAAACTTAAAAAGAGGTTATACACACACAGTTCGGTAATATTATGTTGAAGCACAGTACGCATCACTCCGCGAGGCGCCTGCCTACGATAGCCGTAATGCTCCGACAATCCATCAAGCGGTGTGGGTTCGTAGCTTAGCAAAGTCGTACTAAAACATTTGACAGATTTTCGAGCGCCGTGTACCACAGAAAATTGTTTCGAGGTCAGTAAACACAACCAGAATTCATACATAAGGCACACGGGATTATAAGGGGCACTGTTGATTTTCAGAAAAATCAAAGGGTTGATTTTAAGTGTGCCGTATTTTCCAAACAACATGGTAATAACGACAGCCCGCTAGCATGCTCTACCAAAAACAGTGCTTTGTTGTGTATCTGACGGACGAAAGCTAAACCAGTTCCACACCACTGAAGTTGCAGCATTTTTACAAACCAATTCTGGTTCATCCGTTTCATTTAACAATCCGCTTTCGCTCTTCTCATTCTACGTCGCCGCCATGTGCGTATGTAAACAAAGGCACTGCGCATGCGCGTTTTACCCATATTCTATCGCGATATATTTCATTTTCCTATTGTTGCCCAAAATTACACCGGTATTACCCTGAACGGTATGATATGGCCCAGCCCTAGGGGGCAGTATAAACGGTATACGGTAGAAACGATATAAATCTGGCCAACGGTAGAGATTTTGACTATACCGCTCTACCGCGATAGCGCATGTTGATGGGGTCATCAAGCTGTGCCTGTTTTGGTCAAAAGCATTGCAGCGGCTGCAAACAACATCATCTGCAAATTATGCCGGGCAACAGTAAAAGCAAAGAGACGAAGCAATTTTGGAATATGAGGAAACCTGCGCTCCCTCCACTTCCCTATCATTGATTCATTAATGTTGAATTCTCTGGCAGCTGCTCTATTCCCATGTTGTTGCAGTATATTAATGACTAACCTCATATTGTGGATGGATTATCTCAGTTGTTCTCCTGACTGAAGTTTGATCCGTTTATAGCATCCTGCCATGCAATTGCATTTGTCCCTAACCACCAGAAACCCTCACTTAACTTTTATCGAGTGGAAAAAAGTTAGCGTTCATCCTCCAGCTTCACTGTGTTTATATTATGCTAACATTGCTGTGTCGCTAGCGATCACATAGCACATCATTATATACCAGCTAGCCCAACTTCAGTAACCCTACAAATAGAGCTGGGCGATAGAACGATAACGATATGTATCGCGATATAACTTTTACTCGATAGAGAAATTAAGCTATCGCGATAGACCTCGCCGCTCTTGTCCTCTTAAAAAAAAAAA